GAAGGCGGCGTTTGGAGAACGGCTCACCTCAGCCCCAGCCCGCAGCCTGGGAGCTGCTGCTGCAGATGGTCAGAGGGGCCGGCGCCTCGGCGCTGTGCGAGACGTACCGCAGCTTCATCACAACACCGCTCAGCGCCGGTCCGCACAGGACACGTCGCCCTTACCTCAAGGCTTATTTGGGCACAGCCCGTGTTTGTAATAACTACGTCACCACGGTCCCTCACTGCTTCCTGTTCTTCGAATTCCACAGCACAGGAGGGGAAGGAAGTGAACTGAAACCATACTGGGGAGGAAGGAGAGAGAGGGACCCGCTTAGGACCTGTGCTGACGTCTCTTGGTACCTCTTCGCCCTTCGGCACCGCTTGTAGCTGCCGTTCTGCACCCCCGGACAGCCGATACGCACCGAAGCGTTCTGACAGGGGGGCGCTACTGCGAGGGGACTAGACAGCTCATTCAGTTAACTGGGCTGTCCCCAGAAGCAGTCCCCCGATCAGACTGTCCTCGCCACACTGCCCAAGTTACGTTCTCCTACGCTTTCACTGGCCTTCTATCACCCTACAGTGAGAAGGGTGACCTCCCTGCCACTGCTCAGGTTTGCCGCATGTGCAGCGCGTTCCCCTGCGGAAGCCCAGAGCCGGCCCTGTGGGCCTGGCTGTGGCCCACTCAGACCCACTCACTCCCAGGGCTAAGCCCATTTCCGACCAGGGCCTGCGCAACCGCCCGTGGGCGGCTTTAGGCTGTGCTCCCGGCTGCTTCCATCTGCTCCCCTGAACGTTACAGCATGTACAGATGCGTGAGGCAGGAGACATTGGGACCATCCACACCGCTGTGCAATGAAGCCTCATTCCAGTGGGGAAAGGCCAAACCTTCCCAACCAGAGGCATCAGCTGGCTTTTCCAGTTTCCCCATCCCGCCCTCTACGCACACGCAGCGGGCGCTGCCACGCAACGGAGATTGCTTGGTGGAAGTCTCGGGGCACCGATGTTTTCATCGTTCCCCAAATCTTCCAAAGTTGGCTACAGATCAGCTCAGTTTGCACAATTAAAAACAAAAGAAAACGAAACAACCCCAAACCAAACCAACTCAAACAGAAAAACAACAATCCAAGGATGGGGAGAACATCCAACTCTCTCCGTTTCCGAACGTAACACCCGAACTCCAGACTATACAAGCCCATTCACTGGGGGTTTCCAAACAGCTCATCCAGTTCCTGTATCCACTCATCCCCGGGTCCGCTCTTGATGATGGAGTCCACAAGGTCTGCGCCCTCTGCTAGGCTGGGGAACGACCCCCCTGCCCCCTCGTTACTGTAGGTGTAAGGTATGTCCTGAGTGGGATTCCGCTCGTAGGCCTGGCCCTGGCTGCTCTGCGCAAAGCTGCCAGCCGGCATTTGCTGCGCCGGAGGCTGGCTGAAGCCCGACATCGTGGGGACCCCCTGGCTTAGCGCAGGCATCACCATTGGCCTGGCCTGGCCGGCTCCTTGTTGCCCAGGTAGCGGCTGCAGCAACTGCCTCCCCATCGCCGGGTTCAGGGCTCTTCCTGTTCCGCTGGTGTCCACAACCGCCTGGTTAAGCCCCTGTGGGAAATGTTGCTTGGACAGCCGCGGCTGCCCCGACTGCATGGGATACGTTGTGCCGTTATTGAAGGGCCCCATCTCGCTGCTAGTCCTTCCGGGGATACCTTGTAAGCCTCGCTGCTGCCAGTTCTGTGTTCCCTGAGGGACAGTCCCCATCAGGCTTTGAAGTCGCGGTGCTTGCGGCCTGGGCAAGGCCTGGCCCACAGGTCCTTTCATCTGCTGCTGATGCTGGGGAAGCGCCGAGCCGACCAGCATGTTCTGACCAAAAGTGCCGACCATTCCCACCGCTTGTCCGGAGGCAGGCTGCCTCGTTCCCTGGCCCGCGTTATGTGCCATGCTCATGCCGCTTTGGTTTGGGTGCTGCAACATTTGGCTCATCCCTGTGCTCAGACTGTACATTCCTGGCTGGCTGGAAGAGGCGCTGCTGTAAGGAGCCATGCCCAGGTCTGACTGGCCTGCGGTTGTGGGCAGCGTGCTGGGGTTCTGGGAGGGACCCATCGCCATCATGCTCGCGTTCTGGGCCATCATTCGCGACGTCCTCATGCTCTGGAGTGCCGCTTGGTTTCTCACGGCCACTATGTCCTGGGGAGAACCTACGCCAAAAAGGGAGGAAGGTAAGAAAAAAGAACGCAGCCCTGTAAATCTCAATTAACGCGACTCTGCACAAGGGGGAATGCGTGGGAGCCTTCTGCGTCACAGCCGGACTGCAGACGGCCGGGCTTTCTGGGTGAATAAACGATTGTTTCCCGTGAAGGTCAGCAGAGAGCCAGGAGGTTTCCCCATCCCTGGGAGAAGTGCTCGCTGCCTGACACCGGCTGCACTTCAGACGTTACGTGTTCCCTGCCCCAAGTCAGGCTGCAGCCTCTGTCCTAACCTGCCAAGTCCCCTCTCGCGGGAGGGGAGAGTCAACGCAGCTCAAGCGCTGCCCTAAGCAGGAACCGTGTTCAGCGTGTGAAGCGGGACGCCGTGCAGCAGAGAACACCTGCGTCCCTTCAGGCCTAAAACGATGGCACTTCTCTTCCCCCAAGAAGCCCAGTTCAGCTTCTAGCAAGCAACTGAGAAAGCTTCCGTCGGCCGCCTCCAACGGCAGCAAAGCAGCTGAACTTGAGTTTGCCGTTGGAAGCTCTCTTCTGAATATCTCCGGTGTCTTCCAAAAGTGAGCCTTGAAAATGGAAATGTCAGGCTCGGAAGGCCAATCAATTTTTTAATAGCTCAGGAGGCATAAATGAATGGATTTTCTATGTCATCGTTACTGATTAAGTCTATGGAAAGAAGAAAAATTGGGTTTTGTGGACATTCCAAGCAGGGAGAGTGTATTAGTGAATCGATGGTATAAGCACATTTCACTCCACCTTAGGCCGGTGATGGGAAAGCAGAAAATCCTAACCTTGTTAAATTCCACACCGTGGCAGCTAACTGAGCCACGCTTGTGTCTTCCTTCCAGGGGTGGAGAGAAGCAATCGATTTCTGGGAAGCTGATATGCTCCTGTATTTACTGTCTTTATTTAAAAACAATTACCGGAGCTGTGATGATGCCCTGGGTTCACTGTAGCTCTGAGTCACCACCGCACTGAACTGACTAGAACACTGCAGGGAAGCTCCAGGAGCAGGAGGCACACAATTCCTCCCCGCTCCAACACCGTCCTTCCCCTTTCTGTGAGAAACAGGCAGGCATGAAGGAAGTGTCATTCCTACAGTTCTACGTGTAACGCAGGGGACGGCTACACCTCCCTTTTGCTGCAGGAGGATAAGCTTCTGAAGGATGCTTTCAGCTCCAGCATACAGCGGAGTGGAACATTTTGCAGCCTGAAGAGAGGCCGTCTGGATCTCACTTCAACCGGGCAAACGTAGCAGCAGCTTTGAACTTCTCCGTGCCAGCAAACCGTCTCCTTAACGGTTGGCACTGGGGTCCCCCTGACTTTTCTTAATTTAGATCGCCTCCTCCTTCCACGCTCAGAAGCAGCCTCTTTCCACAGTGACTCCAGCAAGTGCTGAAGACCCAGGGAATGATAAAAACTTACTGAGTGCACCTTCAGCTATTTCTTAACTGGAAACGGCAGCTGAGAACCTCCCAGAGGGTCGCTGCCAGCACGCGGTTCACGCGCTACCACTGCTCGCTACCGGGCTTGTGTAAGAGAGAGGCTGCCCAAGGAGTAGTTGAGAGGTGCAACAGATTTTAAGATTTTGGGCCACCTTCTGGTCTCGTTTACACATAACCTACTGCACTGGATCGCATTCCCGTGCCTAACTAGGAAAAATGGTGAAATATGTATATTTAAACTAGTTGCTTTGTGAGAATTAATTCCTTGCTCTGTCAGATTAGCCTCAACACCCTTCCCATCTCTTTCCAGGAATACATAGAATTTGTGCTGCCAAAGACAAACCCAAGGCGGCGGTTAGAAGGAGCCACCCTGGTGCGTAACGGGGTAAGAGCTGGCTGTGTCTTCGCTTCCTGGGAACGAGGGCTGCAACATGCTGCCCTCCCCCATTTTCTGTCGCAGCTACGTGACACTGTCACGATCACGCAGCGCACGTGCGTGTGCGTTTCATATCTGTGCAGAGTCCATGGCTGGCAAAGGCATTCAGCTGGTGCTCTGCACCCAAAAACCTCCGCATTAACTCCTTTTCCTAAGCCAAAATTACTGCACTTACACACTTCAGCTGTCTCCAAGCACATCGAAATAACACCCGCTTTTTTTGAGAGCGTTACAAAAAATCAGTAATCTTCATTTACATCTCAGCTATTTCAGTGTTTCCCACACCTGACCTTTATCAGCCACTCCTCCAGATAAGGATGACCTCCCCGAAATTCTCTGCTCATCAAATTAGACAGAGTGGGGAATGAAGAAGGGTAAAACCAAGATACAGTGAGAGACACGAGCTGGGGAAAAAAAGCATGGTGAGAGTGGAGGTAAACAGGATAAATCCACAGAATCAACATGTCGAAGAGGCAAACCAAATGTTAAATAAAAAAATGCAGCTTTTGCTGCATTTTTCCTCAGAAGGGAAACGGGAGACTTCACTCAATACAGAAACCTGGGCATTCCCCTTGGGTAGAACACGCAGCATGTGCACGCGCCTGCCCTCCTTTGCCGGCACGCTGCTTCAACCCCTGCTCAAACCTCCACCTGCCCGCCCAGGGGCATGCGCTGCCTCCAACATGGGAATAAGGACTTGGCCGTTACCTTGGAACTGATTGACCTGTTGCACTGGATACGGGCTCCGCTGCTGCTGCAGATGCTGCCGAGGCAAATGGGACTGCTGCTGCAGCTGCTGAAAACGGACAAGGGAAGGAAAAGCAGAAGAGAAAAAGGTGATTAATTAGTTAGAGCTGAGAAAGGGGCTGGTGGCAGAAGTACCGCGGCAGAACTGCAGCGTTTCTTATCTAGCAAGCTGTTCTGGAGAGACGAGCGGAGTGATTTGAAGAGTCCACCTGAGAGCACTTGGGCTACTCAGCACACAGACTCCTCTTGGTTCAAAAAGGAACAAGCACCGAGGCTACCACCATCACTCCTCACTTCCAGCCACTTCATCTCAACCGCTACAGTGCCAACTTGACCATCTCCAGGCTGAAAGGAGCAGGGGAATATGAAGTAACTTTGCTCACTTCGGTCTAAGAGCAACTGTAGCCACGCACCCTTCTCCTTCCCCCAGCCCTGCCAGGGCCTACAGGCTTGTGCTCCTGGTACAAGACTTTCCTCCATCTCTGCGCTCAAAAAACTCGCCTGCAAGAACTGCACCCTGACCGGAGCCCTGTGGCCCAGGACCACTCCCCAGCCAAACCAGAACCGGCTACTAAGGGCTCTGGTACTTCAGTGAATGGTGCCTGGGTAGCGGGGAATTGCAAGACGCCTCCCTGCCTCGATCCAGCCCACACTGCTCCTCCACGGCTGCTTTCTGTGGATACTCGCAGCTGTAAACCAGAATCGAGAGCTGGTTGTGAAACCGGCGTGTGTTCGCCAGAGCTTTGAGAGCCCAGGGCGCACCCGACTGAGCACTTACGTGAAGGACACGTCTTGGTGCTTCATCTGCAGCTGTAAAAAACCAGGGATGCGCAAGGAAGGTAAGAGAATGGCAAAGATGGGAAGGAAGCGCGTACTAATCCCTGTGTTCATAAACACGTATTACGGACTATCAAAAAGATAAGAGGAACCGTGTCAGGCACAGAACAGCCGAAAGCCAGGAGCCTGAGGGCTGTGACTCCATCACTTTTCATCTGTGCCAGCATACTTGACAGCCTCAGCCTTGTGGCTTTTCTTGCCTTCAGCAGCCAAGTCACTGGCTCTTGCGTTTATGCACCTCAAGTGGCCTAATCCACAGTGGGGGAGCACTACTGCACCCTCCCTCTTCTGCGCTTGCTCACCCCCCAAGCGAGTCCTGCATCTTTATCCAGAGTATTTCTAGGAGCATCCTTCCTGTTCACTGGGGGTGAACGTTTCTGTCTCTCAGGAGGACCGTGAGGGGGAAGGCTGTCAGCATTCCCGTGGCTATGCCACACGTGCAAGGTCTAACACAAGCTAAAGCAGGCCCAAGCTTAACCTGTATTTCTCCAGCAAGAGGGGCGAAGCCGAGCTCAGAGCAGCCACCGACCTAGCAGAACATCACCCAGGTAACAGCGAGGGACTGCCGGGCTAAACTCGGCATGAGCTTCTAGGAACCGAGCAGTGGGACTTCCACTGGCTTTCTCCCGGGTTGCTTTTAAACTACAGCGGAGTTAATACGCAGGAGGCACGGCCACGCCGGCACCTGGTAATTCAACATCCGTACGGCAAAGCCGGAGCACTCCGGAAGCCAGATGACAGGCTCCCCGTGCAGCAGTTCCGCATGGCCACGGCGAGGGGTGCTTCACCTGTTCTCCCGCTTCAGCCCCTGGCTTCACCCTTGGTGCTGCTTCTCCCCTGTGCTAACGTGATACGCCAGGTTGAGGAACGGAACTGGGTGGACACTAACCCTTTTTCATAGAATCATAGAACCACGGAATGGTTTGGGTTGGAAGGGACCTTAAAGATCATCTAGTTCCAACCCACCTGCCATGGGCGGGTACCCCTTCCACTAGACCAGTGACGTGTTTTTCTGTGACGGGTTACCGATAACCCACCTCCCAGGTCACCACAGGGCTCTGGGCAGCTTCTGCCAGTGCGAGACCCCAGTCAGAGCTAGGGGAGAGCCCCAGCCACCGCAGCAGTCCGCTGCTGCCAGCGTAAAGGCACCACAAGGTACGGGGTTAAGGGCTTGCTTTTCCAGTGTCTAAAATCCCACGTGACTGCCAAGCGGGGAACGTGGGCAATGCTTGCCAAGCTAACGGTGAGCCTGAGGCAGGTGTGACAACCCACTGAAATACCACGACAGGAGCCACGGAGAGAGCGGCACCCGACATCAAAGGAAGGGCCGGTGTCGCACTGCCTCCCA